TTGAGGGATCAAATTTAGCATTTAACCTTTTCTTTTCCCGCACATGGAGGGTGACATGGAGGGTATCATTAAGTCCACATAAGCATCTTTTACATGTTGGCATATCCACATCAGCTGTTCCCATTAAGTTAACATGCCATGCGAGCAAAAATTAACGGAAGGACCAAAAAAAGGCTGAATTTGTAAACAGTAAAAACAAAAAAAGGGATTTTTTTGGTCTAAGACTAAAAATGAGTTTTTTCCTATAGTAGAGGGATAAAAAGGATATTTAACCAAAAAGAAATGAAATGAGTCCTGGCACTAAAATCAAGCTTTACTGCAGCAGAACAATTTTTCATTTTGGATAAAATGTGAGAATTTATTATCCATATTTTTTTTTAAAGACAGACTGCGCTTAAAAATATTAATTCAAATGCATTTGTTTTTCGGGTCAACTGGCACCCAATCAGCTTGAGGTGCATTCCTCCCTCTTTCATGAGCGAGCTTTGAGCCCATCCTTGACATCTTGTTCAAAAACAAAAAAAATCAATTCAAAATGAAAAGAGACAAAAATATCATTAAATCTTAATATATCCCTAATTTATTAAGAGTATTTTCTTCTCTTCAAACCTGAAACTGAATTTCTAAATTTTGGTATGTACCCAAAAAAAAAAAAAAAAAATTAAAAGGAAAAATTAGCCAATCTGGCTACAACAGTTTTAGCCAAATCATGCTTTTCCCAGCCAAAACTCAAACAGCAATACAAGAACAACTGATTTCCTTCCATCTCAGATATATACAACTACTTTTACAAGGCAACTACAAAGTACAAACAATAAATACAACAGAACGGCTACTTCCCTACTGGCAAACTTCTGCCCCTCAAATTACAGAGAATAAGAGAACTTTCAAGTTTACTTCCTTGTGATCCAAGACTTGATATCCTAACTTGCATCAGCAGACATAATCTCGAGCTCTGCCCACCAAAGAGGAGATAGTTTTGGTGTTGCTCCATCAGGTGTTATTGCAGTAAACTCTCTTAGTCTTGCAGAGACTTCTCTCATTGTTGGTCTCTGTGCAGGTTCCGGGTGGACACAAGATTTCATTACCTCACCAATCTTCTCCAGCTGCTCCTCGTCAAAAGAGTTCAGAGTTGGGTCCACCATTTCTACAAGGGGCTGTGTTCCTCTCAGATAGTCTGATGCCCAGTCTCCAAGTGAACCATCATCCACAGAGAAAGGCATCCTACCTGTTACCATTTCAAATAATAGTACACCAAAGCTGTAAATGTTACTTTCCGGGCTTGCTGGTTGTGTATCTGAAAGCTTCTTGCCACCTATCTCATTCAAGAAGCTCAAATCTGAGATTTTGGCTGCATAGTCCTCAGTTAGATTGACAGCTGAGGAGGACAGGTTGTTGTGGGCTACGGGTGGGTTCAACTGGTGCATATGCTCAAGGCAGTAAGCCATGCCCATTGCAATTCTCAGCCGCATTCCCCAATCCAAGTGCTCTGATTCTTTTACTGCAAGATCAAATTACAAAAATCTAGTGTTGACTACAATGCCGAAAGATAAAGGAAGTCATCAGTGATCATTGTGCTTAAAATGATCGACGTAGCTTTGTTTACCACAGGTAAGTAGGGGAGATCATATAATGATGACTGAAGTAGAATATAATGTATATATATATATATATATTATATCAAAAAACTATTTTATAAGGCAGACCATACATTAAAAATGTAGTCTGCTCTATGAATTTAATAAAATATCCTTAATGAACCTATTTTTTATGTTACTTCATTAAGGGTATTTTAGTAAATTCATATAGCAAACTGCCCCTTTAATGTATAGTCCAGACTGTAAAACATAAATCCCATATTATATATATAAATATGAGAACATGGCAAGAGACGGCTCAAACATGATGCATTCCTATTCCCAAGCAAACAAAATTATGCAAATTGGTTTTGGGTATCCATCCGGTTCTGTCATTAAATCACACAATATCTTATTGTGAAAAAATTTATTGAACGGATGAACAATAAGGTATGCCAATAAAGATGCAAAGAATAATAAACACTTACTGTGTAGATGCTCAAAGAGAGTTCCATTTGGAGCATATTCAAAAACCAACATCCTTGTGAAAGGATCATCTTCCTCACAATACCCTATAAGGTTCACAAAATTTTTGTGGTTCACTTTTGATAATGTATCAATCTGAAACCAAAAAGATGGAAACAATTAGACAGACTGAGGGAACTTGTGAAGCAAACATAACTTGGTTGCAATTTTCTGTAGACTACCTTCTTCCTGAACTGTGTTTCTAAGTTTATTGACCACCAGTCCCTGGCAGATGACACCGCAACAGATGCCACAGCTATTTCAACCCCATTAGACAATGTCCCTTTATATACAATACCAACTGGTGAAGAGCTAATTACATTACTGAAATCTTCACAAGCTGCTTCAAGCTCTGATCTCTTAAGCTTTGGGACACCTGAAAGGTAAGGCATCAATCAATGTATTATACAGACCCAATCTAGCAGAATGAATGCAGTATATTTTCCCCATGAGATGGAAGTAAGAATCCAGCTTACGTTGTAAATGAAATGTAAATGCAGGGAGTCATGCACTTTCAGTTTAAGGTTTAAAATTATAAGCACTTCACTTGGATAGAATGTGAACCCAGTTATTATAAGCATCAAAAGGCACAAAAGTTTTGCTCCATCTTATATCTAAGTCTAAAACTTTTAACTTAGCTCTGGGTTGAAAATAATTCTTTTGATACATGATCTCTCATGTAAATGACTACCTGAACAGAAGATATGTATCGTCAAATTGTGATTCAAGAGAAAGCAAGGCAATAATGAACTAAATTTAAATTTCAACCATATTTGATCTCTTGTTTTCAGCTACTATTTGAATACTATCACAAGTTCACAATCATTAACATGGATTTGAGAAAACAGAAAGATATCTAAACTTTCTAATATTCTAGTTGGAAAGAAAAATTACCAGTTATGAATGCTTTCTGAAGCTGCCCACTTAGCCCTGTAGCCCAAGGTTTGACAGCAGATACTTTACTGCATTTCCATACATATGTTCCAATCATTAAAGTGAGTGCAGCAGCCCCAGTGACTCCAGCCAGGATTGCAATTTTATGACTTGAACTAGAATGTTTAGCTGGTACTGAATTATTTTCTGAAGGGGAAGGTTGTGGCAAAGAATCATCTGGTGAAGGGGAAGGAGAAGGAGGAGGAGGAGGAGGAGCAGGAGGAGTAAAAGATCGATCCCGTAGAGGGGTTGCTTGGAGCCATCTCCTCTGGACTGTATCTTCAATTTGGGCAGAATTTCTACAATAATATCAGAACGAAAAACAAAAGAGAAATCAACTATGAAAAATAGTACCAGAAAAGCATGACCACCAATACCATCAACACATAAATTTCAACTCAGAAGTTATTATCACACTCATTATTCCAGCTACAGTAGTCTACCCATCTTCAAATTCGTGAAAATGGAGAACAAGACTGGCAACTGGAGTTTAACTTTTTCTGGTCTTTATTATCAGGCAGTAGCAAAGTCATGCAAGAGCCAACTGAAAGATTTCTAAGAACCATACATAAAATTGTAGATTGAATGCCTTCACTAACCTTGTAATGAATCTTTTATTGCTGGACGACTTGGCAGCATTAGATAGCTGGTTTTCATCCACTTGAGTTTCAGAAAGCTTCTGAATTTCATTAATTTCAGGAGAGAAGCTACTAAGAAGCTTATTGTTGTCAAGCAAACTGCATCAGATGCATAATTAAAAGCAAGTTATTAAGGTGAAGAGGCAGCAAGAAGAAGAAGAATGAAAGAAAGAAAAAAAGAAACCTCTATAATCTGAAATCAAATGAGAAATGAATTGTATTAACACTATCCACTTACAAAATGATCAGTGAAAGGTTGCTGCCAAGATCGACAGGAAGTGGTCCAGTGAAGTTATTATATCCCAAGTCCAACACCTCCAACTCCTTCAGTGCCCCAACACCTTCAGGAATGATCCCAGAAAATGAATTGTTGCGCAAAACACTGCAGGGAATTGAGGAAAAATTGTCTAACAATGATGCAAAGAAGAAAAAACACAGATCAACTCAAGAGGATTTCTATGCAACCAGCTGAGAAAGCCTTTTTAAGTTGTGAAAAACAAAGAAAAGCTATTCAAACTTACATGGACTTTACGTGAATTAGGTTTCGAAGCTCAGAAGCTAATGTTCCCTCAAGACAAAGATCTTTCAAGTTCCTGCATATTCCACACATCTAAATTCAGAACTAATTAACAAAAATATGCTACAAAATTAACGGTTGTTCATGCATAAAAGCATGGTGATTTTTGTCGACCGTATGACATGGATTCTTGGTTTTAGCTTATTTTCCTTGCTTTTCTTAGCAACCAAACAGAAGCTAGAAAATTCATCATTGAAATTAAACAAAATACTTACAGAACCACAACTCTTCCATCAGAGCACTCCACTCCGAACCACGAACACGGATCAATCACTCCATCGTTATCTTTCCAATTCGACAAAGCACCAAGTGGATCGTTCACAATTCCCTCTTTCAACCTCAACAACGCCAAACCTACACTCTCAACCGTAATTCCTCATCATTTTCGTTTCACTCCCCCCCCAAACAACCAAAAACAGCAAAGGAAAATTCAAACCACTTACCTTCATCATTCAGCGACCAACACACCAAACCTTCGCACCACAAAACCACCACCAGAACTCCGAACAACTGCCGCTTCAATCTAACGAGTTTGCAGTCTTCCACCATGGCTGCTCCACACAAGCCAGAGCTTAACCTGGACGAAGAATCGAACTCCCGCAAAGGTCAAACTGTATCAAATCGGAGAAAAGCGTACAAAAAAAGAACAGATTGAAACGAAGAATCAAAGACTGGAAGAATGATGAAAATTCAAAAGATACAAAATGGAAAACAGACTTTTTTTTTTTGTTTTTTTCTGTTTTTGTTTTTTTGGAAACGCGTAGGCTGTACTGGGACTGTAGACTGTTGATATTTATTCTAATTATTTTTTCACCGCGGTGAAAATGTCGGCAGTGCTGGAGAGGCTCTGACTCGAAAATTACGGCGAGAGAATTACATGAGATTGGTATTTAGATTCAGACCTTATATTTCAGATTTTCACTTATTTAATATAAAAATATTATAATTATAATAATATTATAATTTTATAATATCATTTTATTTATAATTTATTTATAATATTACATATAATTATATATTTAATTTTATATAATATTATATAAAAAAAATATCAATTTTGATTTTAAAAGTTAATTACGAAAAGTCTAGATTTAAAAAAATCAAATAAAATAAAATCTGATCTTATAATTAAAAATTAAAATTTTAATTTAAAATTTAAAATTTTACATTATTAAATATTATTATTTGCCAACAGGGCCTGTGACCCAATTGGTCGGTCCCCAAGTTTTAGGGTTTAGGTGAGGCGGAGGTCAGGGTTTCAAACTCTATCACCGCCGTGAACTCCACCAATTTGCGACCTAATGGTCGCGCGCCTCAAATGAGGGGTGGAAGTTTCACTTTCCTGAAAAAATTTCAACTGCTAACAAATTAACTCTACTAATTTCTTAACCATTTACCTGGTCAAAAAAAAATTAATATTTAAATTTAAAAATTA